GCGCAGCTGAGGTCACGAAACACGTCAGTGGCAGAGGCGTCCCGGCGCCTTGATTTCTCCGTGTTACGCTCAACCCGGGTGCTGGGGCTTTGAGACGAAGCCAAGCCTGATGCCTCCAACGGGCTGACAGAGATGCCTCCTTAATCCCCCTCAGCATCTCCCTCTGGCTTTGTTCCCAGCAGGATTCGGCCCAAACCCCACCTCCAAAGGGTGGCCAAGCCCCTTCTCTCAACCCCAAGCTTTTCCTGGACACAGAGCTCGCCGACACACCGCCAAGCCTGCCCCACGGGGACGGTCACCAGAGTAGCGACAGAGACCGGGACCGAGGCAGATACAGGCCATGCCCACGTGTGCCCACAGACGGGGACACGCGGCTGCCAAGCTGCTTCATGCAGGTGAGCCCAAGCCCCCCGTCTGCCCCCCCCAACCTGGGTTTGCTGGGTAAAGGCAAAACCTCGGCATCTCACCTGGGGAGGATTCGGCCTTCCTGGGTCCCGAGCAGGTCCTGCGGTAGACCTGGCTGCAATCCTTCTTGAAGGTCTCCTGGTTCTGCAGGAGCTGGTTGATGTCCTGGAAGAACTGCTTCACCAGCACCAGCATCTCATAAGGGGAGGTGGTGAACTCCTCGAAGCACTGCTGCGAGAGCTGCAGGAAGAGCCGGGCTCAGCATCAGCCCCAGGACCCGGATACTGCACCCAGGGCAGGGTTTGACCCCCTCCTAGGCTCCCCTGCCCACGCACGCCCCATCTCTGCCCACCCCAGGATGCTCTGGACACCCCATTTCACCCCAGGATGAGGGCTCAGACCCACACACATGACATGCCACGAGGTAGGGGACACCCCGTACCTCTCTCTCCTCGTCGTTCTCATCCTCGATGCAGGGGTCGACGCTCTCGTCGATGCGCTTGTACATCTTGCGCACCGCCTGCATCTTCTTGGCGTTGGCCGAGTTCTCCTTGAACTCCGTTCGCTTCAGGATCTTGCCCAGCAGAGGAAAAGCAGCTTTCACGTAGCAGACAGAGTCGTTCTGCGAGGACACCACCCAAAAAAGCGAGATGTTACCGCACGAGCGGATGCGGCAGCACCCAAGCTCGCCCTGCTTGGGGGAAACTGAGGCACGGAGCCACAAAAGGCCTCGCTATGGTCCTGCAGGCTGCCCAAACCACCTGGCCAGGCAGGATAGGTCCCTTCTGGGCTGCCTCCTGCAAAGGGCTGAGGAAGTGAGATTGGGGATGCAGGGAACCCTCTCATGGGCACCACCCAGCCCTGTTCCCACTCACCAACTGCATCTTATCGATGAACTCGAAGGAGACCCTGCCTGGGTGCTGCATCTGGGTGTCAGCCTGGAAGGACAGAGCAGGATGTCACCCCACAGCCCCAGGAGGGGGTATAACACAGCAGGAAGGGGCAGCAGAGCCACT